GATTTTAAATCTTATGATATCACTTATTTTAGAGGTTGATACTATATTATGGGCTGTATGCCACGTTTAGGGCCTCGTGCCGACCTGTTGAGACCCTTAGAAACATTTTTACTGTTTTCCTCACTCTATTTGTTTGAAAGCATATCCTCAGTCATGGTTTACCTGTTTATTGTTTAAACTTGGTTTTTATCACTCTATTTCTTAAAAATGTGAAAACTTGTTGGACCGAGTTTTCCTAATTTTCACTGTTATGCCTGAGGGGCTGTGATGTTAATGACTGAGAGAGGTTTAGGACCTAATGGTGAGGATTATATATATTACGGATCGGGCTGCACGCCACAATAATATTTTATATATATTATGGATCGGGCTGCACGCCTCAACGATACTTATATGGATCGGGCTGTACGCCGCAGCGATATATATATATATATATATATATATATATATATATATATTGGATCGGGCTGCACGCCGCAGCGATATGATGATTGGGCTGTAGGAGTGTGGTTACTAAGTCACGAGAGCTGAGTCATGAGTGGCTGAGAGGCTTGCCCGAGAGGCTATATTTATGAGTGATACCTTGCCCGAGGGGCCTATTTATAATATCTTTGCTGATTTCACTCTTCTTTTATAATGAGCCTCTGTTGAAAGCTGCTAAATAAATGATTTCAAAGTATTTCAATTGAAACTGAAGTTTTTACGAAGTAAACTAACTTTTAAACTATTGAGTTTGATTTGATACCCTATTGTGTACTCTTATATATGATTTTTTAACTGCTCGTCACTGCACTCAGACCTTATTTACTTTAGTTACTTACTGAGTTGGCGTACTCACATTACTCTCTACACCCTATGTGCAGATACAGGAGCCTCGAGTCCTACTAGCGAGGGCTGACTGCTTCTAGCGGGCTATTTTGGAGTTCACTAGGTAGCTTCTCGGCGTTTGCAACCCAGTGTTTCTCCCTCTTATCTTTATTTTCCCTTGTACTGGATTCTGTAATAGACTGTGTAGTCCCTTCTTCATACTCTTAGACTTATGTTAGATGGTCATGAATGGTGACACCCCGATGTCGGGCTATGTTTATTTCTGCGTTGTCCTATTTCACCTTATTTTTGGGATTTACCATCCGTTAATAATTTAAATTAAATTATTATAACTGTTAAAAATAGATTAAGAATTTGTGTCGGCTGACCTTGTTTCACGATAGGCGCTATCATGATCGGGTCCGGGTTTAGGATCGTGACATACTCCTTTATCTAAATGACATACGTCAATTTCCATTTCTTACTTCAACAAGTACTAAATAATTTTTTGAAGCTCTAGTTTTCAATTGTTTAAAATATATCTGCTGATTTCTTCTTGTAAATCTTCTTCCTAACTTAATTCCCTGTTTCCTTCAGATGTACGATAGCTAATTGCCATGTATAATATTATTGATTTCTTGGTCTTCTCAATTTTCATAGAATGTGTTGTGATTTAAAAAAAAAACTCCACATTAGAGGTTCAAACCAAGATTCACAAGTTGGCCAGAACATAACCAAAACTATAAAATTTAGAGGCATCAAAAACATAGTTAAGCTAAAAAGAGAAATTGCAGAATTGTCATAGTAGTAATATGATTATATATGCACTTAACATTTACACTAGAGTTAAGCTATTTAATATACATTAGTTACACAAAAAATATAGCATCATCGTGCCCACTAGTCATAAACAAAAGAGTATGGACATAACCCAAGGTATCAAAAATAGCACTACAGTTTAACTTTAAAGTTGTTGTTCGAGAAAAAACTATCAAACTAGTACCACCACATATACACAATTTTACCATACTTCAAATTTTACCATTGATAATCATGAACATCATTGTTTGGCGCTCAAGTTCACCCATACGTAAAAATAATTCCATCTTTTTAACATCTTCACAGAGAATCATTGTAGCTTTGATACGTTCTTATACTGAGTACAACTCAAATGCGGGAGACTCAAGGATGGAATAAATTTTACCACGAATATCGGATCGGTCACGATCCCCAATTTTATCAATCAAGGCACCCATTATTTTATCTTGACTTTCAATAAAGTTTTTCATAACTTTTGTCATACCCTTAAGAAATGTCTCACTAGAATCCTCCACAATCCTTTTTCTTTTCTTGGTTTTCTCTTTTTCACTAAAATTAGAAGAGGACCTATTAGCATGCTCACTTTGTTTATGATTTTGTTGGAATCCTGCATGTTCATTTTCAGATGCTCCAGCATATTCATGTTCAGATGCTCTAGCATCTTTCTTTTCAGATGCTTCAGTAAAACTAGGTTCAGATGCTCTAGCATTTTCATTTTTAGCTTCTCCAGTAGCTATATTAGGTCCATCACCAGCATTATCTTCTTCTTCATCATCAACATCAATAGGCCATCCTAAGCTCATGTCATTAAAAAGTCCTAAAGCTTAACTCCTTAGAATATCCTCAGCAGCATCTAGCGGCCCTTCTGCGAACTCTCCCGTCGCTCTATCCTTGCCAAATATTTCTTCCCACTCCTCAAACATTGTCCATTTCTTAGTTTTCATGCTTTTTTGCTTTTGGATCCATCTAGAAAAAATAAGGAAAGAAACAAAGTAATAACATATGCGTCAGTTATAAACTATGATGGAAACTCAGAAAAATTCCTATATGAAGTAACAATATTCTAATAACTTAAGCAAAGTATAAATTACCTTTATAAAGTCATCCCACTGTTTTGGATCTTCAACAATTATGGTTCCATCACTATATTGAAATCCCAGACCACTTTGACTCTTTAATAAACTTATGCTTGAATAACATCTCTTCCACGCTTTTACTTTATTATTAACATGTGGTTCACCTTTTAATTGACTACTAGGATGACGTTCATGCAAATAATGCTCTAATTCCATCAAGTATCCTGGCCTAAAGGTTCCATTATCAGCTTTCCAACTATCAGCACATAATTTTTTTAAACCATTTAAAAGAGCACTTTCTTCTGCTGGAGTCCAGATCCTTCGGGAAGAAGGTATTGATTTTCTTGATCTTATTGACAATAGCTTTGAATTTTCTGCCTGTCTATTCATTATATCTGTATAATCTTGTGAAATAAATTATCATAAGTATTAGTTATCTCCACAAGAAGCATAAGTATCTCCAATATTACTTAACATCACAAAAGTAAAAATTCATACACTTTACACATAAAAAAGCATATGTATGGAAATATAAAACTATCAAAAAAGAAATGCTAACTAAACATAAGTAATCTTCACAAAAATTAAAGTAAGTAACTATTTCTTATAATCACAAAAAACTGAAAGTTGATACACCTTACAATCATACAAAAAACTAAAGAGAAAAATACCCAAACACCACAAAATATAATACAAGCATGGAATATTTTGAAACGATCAATTCTTCAGACTTGCATTCCACATTGGTTGAGCCAACTCATCCTTCCAAGTGGTCCACTCCTGAGATGATTCAACAAAATTAATGTTGTCATATTGATACTCCACTTGTTCTTCCATATCAATATCTAAGGGAACCACTTCCATCTCTCTACGAATAAAGGTGTGCATCAAACAACAAGCACTAATGATCCTGTTATGAACCTTAACTGAGTACCACGAAGAGCTTCTAAGAATTCCCCAACGCTCTTTCAAGAGACCAAATGCTCTTTCGATAACATTACGAGCCCTAGCATGATTCATATTAAAAAGCTTTCTCGATATCGAGGTGGAGGATTGTCACCTTGCCAATCCCTTAACAATATCTATACCCTCTGTAAGGTGAAAGAAAATTATTTCTATTTGTATATTCCTCCATCGCACAAATAATAATTTCCTATCATATAAACATAAAATTTAGTTACTTTTATGTAGCATTCTTTTTGTGATATAACTTGAGTGTATAAGAATATGTATGACATACCCTCAGGGATTTTCAAACCATTCATTCGCATTATAGCATCTCGTAATACACGACCATCGACAGTTGATCCTTCCCAATTAGGTAATACATAAGTAAAATTAAGATTTCTATCACAAATTTCCAGTACATTAGTTGCTATTTCTCCCTTTCTTGTTCTGTATCTTGGTTTGGCTTGGATGGAACTCTAATTTGAATGAAAGTACCATAAGTGCACCTCCTATAAAATCAATTATACATTATCTCAAACTATTAATTTCTTTTCGTATGATTATATATTTTTTTAGTTTTACATAAATTAATATATGCTCAAAAGAAATTTCACATACCTTAACCCATCTCCATTGATCTTCAATCTCATCTTCAAGCAACGGTTTAGGATTAACAAGTAACAATGGAGCTAGTCTGAGAACAAATCTCAAGTATTCATTGAAAGCTTGACTTACGCTCCAACCCGATCTAACATAGTCAACCTTAATTGATCCATTCTTCTCATGATGAGCTAAGATATTTAAGAACATTGCTAACTTTTCACTACTTGACATATTTTTACTATCAGTTAAACCTCCAATTTTCTTAATTAAGAGAACTAAAGTGTGAAAGGAATTTTTATCCATTCTTAACTTATCAATATATGCAATATCACTGTCATATATGACACAATTCAAATGAGACATAATTTTAGGAATTCTAACAGTCATACGGTACCTAATCACACCCCTATTTCTATGTTGTCTTCTTATAGAATGACCATAAATAGTCATTAAAAGAAATATAAACACAATAGGAAATTGTTGGCACAATATCTTCTCAAGGATAATAACGCATTCAATATCGGACAATAGTTGATGATCCATAAGAAAACCTAATTTTGCCATTACAAAAATGAAAAGAATTAATATATAAAAAATTACAATTAGAAAAAGGAATCTTTGAGTAAAAATTTATAATTTTCAAGTACATAAAGAGAAACAAATTAACCCAACAAATGTTTGGAAAGAAGCCAAACTAAGATTTCATTATCAACATAAAGAGAGAAGGGCTAATAAATGGAAGAGGACAATCCACAACTGTGATTTTCACATATTACAGATCTTTTACATATAGCTGGTACTCTTTCATGTATTTCAGCTCTTTCGGCACTACATATTGAGTTTGAAATGCTATGATTTTTCTCAATTATTTGCTAAATAAAATTCAGCAAAACAATTACGTAGCATTCATAAAAAAGTTCAGAATTTTACTATTTTGGTAGAGAAGATGACTGTACCCAAATTATGCAACAAAGAACTTATAAATGATAACAAGAAAGAATAAGAGAAATAGGTTTCGATAGAAGTTTTAACCTTGTGAGAAAAGCAAAACGAAAGATAATGTCTTGTTCAATCACTACAACATAGCTTCTGCATTCAAAGAAGAGAAGAAATCTTCCCCAAGAGCAGAAAAATTTGTAGCGGTGTTGCTTTACTAATATTGGGTAAAGAATGGGAAAAGTGATGTAGAAAAAGGGTTTGAGGACTTTAGGGCAATTTTGGTAAATTTTGCTATTTTGTCAGGGGATAATAATCTCAGCATTAATTACCCCACCTCCCTGATAGGTATAAGTTATCCTGGTATTAATTTTAATACTGGGATAACTTATACCAGATTTGGTAATCAAACAAGGTATAAGGTGGTATTAGATTTTTATACTAGTACTATTTTTACTTATACCTCATACCAAACGACCCCTTAGTGTTATTTTGGAAGTTTAAGTTGTAAGAGTTGACCAATATCTGACTTTTGTGTAAACGATCTCAAATTGGTGTTATGATGGTTCCAATAGGTTTATATGGTAATTTTGGACTTAGGCATATGTTCGGAATTGGATTTGGAGGTTCCTAGAATGTTTTGGTGCTATTTGGCGAAAGTTGGCAAATTGGAGGTTTGGAGAGTACCTAAGTTTGACTGAGGGTTGCTTTGAGATTATCGAATTCGGATTGTTATTCTGTTAATTCACATAGCTTCATTTTGTCATTTGGGACTAGTGTGCAAAGTTTGGGTTCAATCTGGATTGATTAGGCTTGAACCAGACACTTGGTTTGAAGTTAGAAGTTTAGGAACTTAAGAAATTGATCTTGATCGGCGATTCTTGGTTTTGACGTTATTCGTGGTGTTTTGAGACCTTGGACAAATTTGGATTAGGTATTAGAATTTGTTGGCATGATTGGACGGAGTTCCGGGGGCTCGAGTGTTTTGGGGTGGTTTCAGACTATTTTTTCCTTATTTTGGACTGTTGGTTTCAGGTGTAGAGGGGCTTCTTCGCGATCGAGGAGGGGGCTCACGATCGCAGAGTGGAGGATTTGGCAGGCGAAGATTTACCCTTCGTGTGCACGGGAGAAGGGTCGCGTTTGCGGAGGAATCTGTTGTTTTGCGTTCGCGTTTAGGAGACACATTCGCGATGGCTTGTGGTCGAGCAGGAGGTTTGCCTTTGCGATCGTAGGTGTGGGGCTGTGTTCGCGTAGGCTTAACTGGTGCATTGGCCGCGTTCGTGGGGTGCCTTCACGTCTGCAAAGGGGAGTCTTCAGCTGGGCAAATTTTTCGTGATCGCGATGCATATGTCTGGGCAGACTATTTAAATGGGAATTTCGAGACTTTTACCCACTTTATCATATTTGGAGTCGTAGAATTCGAGAGTGGGAGATTTTGAAGAGCAAATTCGCTACAGCATTGGAGGTAAGCAATTTACACTTGGATTTGACTTTATATCATGATGTTTCATGGATTTCTACACCTAATAACTTGGATTTTAAAGAGAAACTTGAGGATATCTAGCAAAACTTTTGGAAAGTGAATAACTGAGATTTGAACCCCCACTTGGGGTCGCTTTTGGATGAAACTTTTATATCTGGATTCGTATTGGAATAGGTGTTCGGGGTTTATGAGTTTTCTCGGGTTTCGGGAGGCGGTGTCGGGTTGAATTTTTGGTTGACTGTGTATATTTAATTAAAGATTCAAACTTTATTGTTTTGGTTTGATTTTTATGGCTTTTGTTGATGTTATTGGTATATTCCCGCAGTGCTAAGGAGCACGAATAGAATTTGAGGAATGTGCTTTAGATTTTGAGAGAGAAGAAGTTGTATGCTAAGTTCTCCAAGTGTGAGTTTTGGCTGGACTAGGTGGCAGTCTTGGGCCACGTGGTATCTAGTGATGGGATCAAGGTAGATTCAAAGAAGATTGAAGCCGTTCAGAGTTGGCACAGACCTTCTACCGCTATAGAGATCAGGAGTTTCTTAGGTTTGGCTATGTACTACCGCCGCTTTGTGGAGGGGTTTTCATATAGTGCAACCCTATTGATGTAGTTGACCCATATGGGTGCTCTGTTTAGGTGGTCAAACGAGTGTGAGGAGAGCTTTCAGAAGCTCAAAACGGCATTGACTGTGGCCAGTTTTGGTATTGCCCTCAGGATTGGGGTCGTACACAGTTTATTGTGATGCTTCGAGGTTGGTCTTGGATGTGTGTTGATGTAGGATGATAGGGAAATTACCTATGCAGTTGAAGCCCTATGAGACGAACTATCTAGTGTATGATTTGGAGTTTTGCAGTTATTATACACACGCTCAAGATTTGGAGGCATTACTTATATGGCGTGTCTTGTGAGGTATATACGGATCATCGAAGTCTCCAACATCTCTTTAAATATAAATATTTGAATTTGAGGCAGCAGAGATAGTTGGAGTTGTTGAAGGATTATTATATCACCATTCTTTAGCATCCGAGGAAGGCCAATATGGTAGTTGATGTTTTGAGTAAAAAGGCAGAGAGCATGGGGTGTTTGGCATTAATTCTAGTTGTAGAGAGACCATTAGATATGGATGTTCAGGCTTTGACCAATAGATTCGTGAGGCTAGATGTTTTTGAGCCTAGAAGGGTTCTTGCTTGTATTGTATCACAGTCGTCTTTGTTTCAGCGCATTAAGGCTCACTAGTATGATGATCCCCACTTTTGTGTCCTTAAGGACACGGTGCTGCGAGGTGGTGCTAAGGAGATGACTATTGGTGATGATGGGGTATTGAGGCTTTGGGAGCGGATCTGTGTTCATAAGGTGGATGATTTGAGGGCATTGATTCTTGAGTAGGCTCATAGTTCGTGGTATTCTATTTACCTAGGTGCTATGAAGATGTATTGTTATTTGAAGCAACATTATAAGTAGAGAAGGATGAAGAAGGATATTATTGTGCATGTTGCACGGTGTCTGAACTGCCAGCAGGTCAAGTATGAGCATTAGAGACCGAGTTGATTGCTTCAGAGGTTAGATATACTAGAGTAAAAGTGGGAGTGAGTCACAATATATTTTTGGTGGTGTCTCCACAGACTTTGAGGAGATTTTATGTTGTGTGGGTCACTATGAACAGACTAACTTAGTCTACCCATTTTATTCTGGTCATGAATCCCTACGCTTCTGAGCATTTGGCTCGGATTCATCTTAGAGATATTATTTGCTTCATGGTGTGCCTGTGTCTATCATCTCATATTCCAACACCCAATTTACATCGTATTATTAGAGAGCTCCGTAGCGTGAGTTGAGCATGCAGGTTGAATTGAGTATGACATTTCATGCTCAGACAGACGGGCAGTTCAAGAAGACCATTTAGATCTTGGAGAATATGATGAGAGCCTGTGTCATTGATTTCGGAGGTCAGTGGGATCAGTTTCTACCATTAGTAGAGTTCGCCTACAAAAACAACTACCGGTCTAGTATCCAGATGGCTCCATATAAGGCCTTATATGGGAGATGATATTGTTCTCCAGTTGGTCGGTTTGAGCCTAGGGAGGCTAAGTTGTTGGGTACCGATCCGGTTTGTGATGCTTTGGAGAAGGTGAAGTTAATTCAGCAACGGCTTCGTACAGTGTAGTCCAGGCAGAAGAGTTATGTTGATAGGAAGGTTCGCTATGTAGCTTTCATGGAAGGAGAAAGGGTACTTCTTAGAGTTTCGCCTATGAAGGACGTGATAAGGTTCGGGATGAAGGGCAAGTTGAGCCCTCGATACATTAGTCCATTTGAGGTTTTGGAGAGAGTGGGTGAGGTGGCTTACATATTTACTTTTCCACCCAGCTTGTCGGGAGTTCATCAGGTATTTTATGTTTCCATGCTCCGGAAGTATCTTGAGGATCAGTTACATATGCTAGATTTTTGTTCGGTATAGTTGGATTAAAACTTGGCTTATGAGGAGGAACCAGTGGCCCTTTTGGATAGACAGGTTTGGAATTTGAGGTCGAAGGATATTGCATCGATGAAGGTTTAGTGGAGAGTTCAATCGATCAAGGAAGTGACTTGGAAGACCGAGCATGATAAGAGGAGCAGATGTCCTTATCTTTTTGGCATTTTGGGTATGTTTCTAAACTCGTTCGAGGATAAACATTTATTTAAGAGGGAAAGAATACAACGACTTGCCCAGTCCTTTTATGTATTTAAGCCATGTTTCCCTATTTGATGTTTCTCATATGTGTATTTGTGGTTTTGTGACTTGTAGGGGTAGTTAGTTTGGCTTCGGGAATGTTTGGGAGTGATTTGGAACACTTAGGACCCGTTTGGCCATAGATTTTGCCAAAATAAATTTAGGTTTTATTTGGCAAACACATGTTTGGTCATAGATTTTGGCTACATTTTTGGCAAAATCCCAAATCCCAAAACCAGCTCAATAGCTGGTTTTGGGCCAATAGCACTATTATATATTTTCAAAATAGCCCCAAATTTTTATATTTTATAATAGAGCCCACCATTTATTATTTTGTAACAATGGTGCTTCGCCTTCTCAGTCATCTGATAGTGTATCATGTAGTTCATTATAAAAATGATAATTTTTGTATCAAATTTATTTATGTTTAGGACTATGGTTTGCGATAATATAATGAATATTATTGATAATGGTATTGTTGGGTATTTGTGATAGTTTCTATAACTTGTGGGTATAAGTCATGTTTCATATTTTTCCAAAATAAATTTGGGAAATATGTTTTGAAAACTGATGTCCAAACACATTTTCATCTTCAAACCAAATTTCACCCAAATCAGATTTTTCAAAAGAAATTTGGGAAATATGTTTTGAAAACTGATGTCCAAACACATTTTCATCTTCAAACCAAATTTCACCCAAATCAGATTTTTCAAAAGAAATTTGGGAAATATGTTTTGAAAACTGATGTCCAAACACATTTTCATCTTCAAACCAAATTTCACCCAAATCAGATTTTTCAAAACAAATTTGGGAATCTATGGCCAAACGATAGCTTAGTATCATTTTTTAAGCATAAGTTGTAAGAGTTGATCAAGATTTAACTTTTGTGTAAATGACCTCAGATTGATATTTTGCTGGTTATAATATATTCGTATGGTGATTTTGAACTTAGGCGTATATTCGGAATTGGATTTGGAGGTTCTTAGAATGTTTTTGGTGCTATATGCCGAAAGTTGGCAATTTG